ATATTATGTCGATTTATTTTTTATCATAATCCTTTCAGTTCTGTAACTTTCTTCTTGATATTAAGTTGAAATTCGTCAAGGAAGGCGCCGTATTTTTTTTAACCTAAGTAAATATATTCTTATATATATATATATATATATATATATATATATATATATATATATATATGAGTGGGTATATATATATATATCACAAATAGGGCTGGTGTTAATAAAACAGTATACTTAGTACCTAAAGATTGCATCGTGCATGATTCGTGCTAGCAGTGAATATATATATATATATATATATATATATATATATATATATATATATATATATATATATATATATATAAACTATTCGTAAAAACACAGATATGTTAAAATATGTGTAACAAAAAGTATAATACAATGCATTGCTCATTCTCACGTGTCTTATGTTTATTTATAAGTTTATCTTTGTATCAGAGTTACACATATTTTAACATGTCAGCAATAATAAGTTTTGCAACCCTCATAGATTATTTATAAATACATACCTATATATATAATGATCAACTGTGTATTGAACACTGTTTTTTTTTTAAAAATAAATGCTAAAGAACTCTGGATTATAAATCTGACTGTTCTTCCCTATTATATATATATATATATATATATATATATATTCACCAAATCTTGGTAGCAATTGTTCTTAGGAATATGTTTTATTGAAAGCAATAGATATTTCATGTATGTTAAATTTATTGATCATAATTTCTAGCATGCGAATAACGTTTTGCAAATTCATATTGTGTCCAAGCTTTCAAATACTATGAGTCATCGTAAGAAAAGAGAAGAAAAGAAATTCAGACGTATTTTAAGCAGCGCATTGTTTTAAAAGTGTCGTTATTTTTTTTTTGCTTGAAACCTATATCCATATCCAATGTAGTAGAACGCAATAAATCATATGTCAGCAACGTTTAATAGCAAGGCCTAACAGCAACGTAAAAGGATGTGCATTTTCTTTTCATATGCCCACTCAAGAATACAGGTCTTAGGCTATAGTTAGTTTTATTAAGAGCTAATTGCTTTTTTATATATATATATATATATATATATATATATATATATATATATATATATATATATATATATATTTGTAATTGGGTATTTGGGCAGCAAACCCTATTTTATACAAGTTTATACTGAGTATAGTAGTGTTTTATTGACACCAGCACTATATATACGATATATATATATATATATATATATATATATATATAGAGAGAGAGAGAGAGAGATAGATAGATAGAGATAGATAGATAAGAATATATTTACTTAGGTTAACAAAAAATACGCCGCCTTCCTTGATGAATTTCAACTTAACATCAAGAAAATATTTACAGAACTAGAAAGGATTATTATAAAATATAATTAGGAATAATATATCTATATTATTTAATGAAACATACTTATATGAAGATAGAATTTGTAAAGGAAAAAAATGAATAAGAAGGCAAAAGGAAAAAAACTATCCTGAGCCGACGCATTTCGTCTTCTTATCAAGGCAAAAATAAGAGTTTATTTTGTTGTACGTGTTTATATACAACAGCAAGGTTGTCATGGGTTTATCAAGACTTTTAAATTTGAGAACGTTCGTGCATATTCATCAATATATATATACATATATATATATATATATACATATATATATATATATATATATATATATGAAGAAATATAGTCTTAAGGTGTGATATATTTATGGGATAAAGTGCTCAATATCAGAGATAGAGTGTGTGTAAATATAAAACACTTAGAGGCGACAGTCTGTTTCACGCTAGACGCAATCGTCAGGCCACGAGTGCTGTTATTTTACTCGGCTATTTATATATACAGGTCAGTGGTGCATTGTGGGTAGTCTATTTTGGTAGTTATTTTGCACGAAGTCGTTTCATTTATTTATTTGGGTTAAATTATTTTGCTTGTCATTATTTTTTTTTGTTTCATTAAAGACGACTGACAAGTTATTTCGAATAAACCTCTTATTCAATTTTTGGCTGAAATCTGTGTCAAAAGTTTTTCCCATTACACCGCTTTTTTAAAAAATTACCTTCACTCTTTGGCAACTTTTGTTGTTTTCAAAAATGATGGTTAGAATTTTTTAAATTAAATTCACTTCAAGAAAGGCAGCAAAGCCACTGAGATACAAAAAGTTACTGGGTGCGAAAGAACTAGAAAACAGAAACATTACCAAGGAACGAGAATAACAGAAGAGTGATCAGGAAGACAGTAGATAACGATTGATACTGCATTTAAATTTTTGCTGATTAACGTTGGCTGGAAAGCATAAAGTCGGAAGGGAGTTCCACAAGTGAGAAGTGCGAGAAAAGAAACTGTTAGCATAAAACTTACGGTTACATCTAGCCAACTAGACGGTAGATTGGTGAGGCTTCAACACCAATCTAGTACTGCGCTTAAATTAATAAAGTCTAGGTAACTTTGCGAAGGGTTCATCCGAACAATTACCATGGAAGTATTTATAAAAAAAAGGTAAAGGGAAGCAACTTTACGGCAGTGGGAAAGTGATTGAAGCCGAGACGCCGGACCAGGACCAATAATATTGCTGATTCTTCTTTGGATTTTATAAAGAATATCTAAATATATAGCAGACGCACCGGACCATATTTGGCAGCAATATACAAAGTATGGACGAATATATAGATATGTAAAATAGATTCTGTAGAGAAAACTTGTCTAGTTCGACTTTTGGATTAAAACCTATACATATGGAAAGGAATTTATACATTTTCTTTATTCTTGAGCATTGACAATAAATATAATAAACATTATTTACTCATTAGATTATTTATTTACTCTATTATATTGTTTATTGGAATCGTTGGTAAAACATCGGTAAATTGCCAATTGATTCAAACTTTATAAAATAGTAAATGATAAGGATTTCCTTATAGTTGGTTCACATATTCATATTTTAATAATTTAGTAAATATCCAAGCGCCTTCAGGTATTCTATTAGCCATTACCAAGTATTTTTAAACTGAATATGTAGATTTTTTTATATATATATATATATATATATATATATATATATATATATATATATATATATTGAAAAGAAGATAAACCGCAAACCTTTTTGCTTGAAATGTGAATTTTTATTTTAAAATATATATTATACTCTATTTTCCATAATTCTGCTACACAGGTTTCTGGTTTCGTGGCCTTCTTCAAGTGTAGATGTTTCCACATATTATAAAAATGGATTTTTTGCGTGGTAGTTATTCAAATGTCTTTCTTGTACTGGTGATAAGAATTTTATATATATAGTTCTCTTGTTAATATTTCGTTCTTTCGCGTGGTACGACGCAATAGAACTGCATTATGAATTTAGAATTTGCGTCTGATATTTCGCAACCGTTATCGTCCCATAGCAAACTTCTATGTCAGCATAACAGAATCGACTACTGTATTTGGTAATTATGTGTGTATGCTGTGTGCTTTTGTGTGGGATTATGATCTATTTATTGCTAGTTTAAATTTGTTTATGACGTTTTTTTTCTTGTATTTGTTGATAAAAATAATTGTCTGTTTGATTAAATTTACCTTGATTACATTTCTGTTGTCGGGTAATTTGGAAAATTCTGTGGTTTACTGCTTGGTTGATATCTATATATGGCTTCTTGTATTTTGTGCATTTGAGTGCACAAATCACATTTTTGGAGTTGCAGTTTAAATTTTTATTTATTATGAATGTCGTTTTGTGGAGTTTTCAAAAGTGTAGTTCCCTTCTATAATGACGTCACAAATTCCACTTCTTTTTTTTTTATTGCATTAACTTACTAATCACTCGTTGGATGACGTGATCCTTAGGTTTAAGTGTAAAATAGGTTAGACGTTCTGTCTATGCTAGTACTTTGGAAAATCAACATATTGGAAGGCTACGGTCAAGTTTTGAATTTAGACTTGTTCTTCGTCTACAAGGCTATAGGGTCCTAGTCTGTCCAGCTATTTACCCATAGCTGGGGAGAGAAGATCTGAATTCATACCTTTCCCAAGGGTATTAACGACTGAAATTCGAACTTGGATCTGCGATTCCGCAATCCGAACCGCTTCTCATTACTCCACCGCGCCTCCATTCTAGAGAATTTCGTTTTATCGGGAGAATAAATGTGTTAGAAATATTAAATATATATTTTTTTCTAGTGACTGATTTGTTTATATTCTTTTATATCAATGCAGAAATCCTAAGACGGTCACCATGAAGAACTATGAGGGATATTCCTTTAACCGTAACATTCCTTTAACCGTAACATTGTTCTCTGCCCAGTGAATCAGAATAAAATAAAAATAAATCCAGCAATTGTTTTTTTATCTTATTTCTTGTAAAGAAAATTAAAGAATTGTCTTCACTTTATCGTAATTGAATTTATGTGTATAAATTTAAAACGTTTTTCATCGTCTGTTAATCCTCGATACGGTTGTTTAATATAACGAGGAAGTTTGTTGTTTTTAGTTTTATTTCTGTCCTGTAAGGATTGATTGCAAGGACAGCTATGCTATACGGTTGAAAATAAAGGTGAGGCTATCGATTTGATTGTTTTTTTTTTCCTTCTGTTGCTTTTGCTCAAGAAAGTCGATTTTTTTATTCCTCTCTGAATGGAATCCTGAAAAAGAATGCTTTGTTCCATTCGTTCAATCTGTTCCAAAATTAGTCCCCAAGGAATTTTACACGAGTCAAATAATGTATACACAAAGGTGAATCAGCAATTATGTAGGCGGATAAGGTTATTAGGTGAAATTTGATCTGAAATTCTCACCGTATAATGTTCGATTTATATGCCAACAAACGACTTGTTAAATGATTTAAGACGGAAGGGGATTATTTTGTTGTATGTAGTCAATATTGCTCTTGGCAATTATATTGAAAAATAAATATTTCTTGTGTGAAATAAATGCCTTTTCATCATTGACGTACCTATGTAAATGGTTACTATTCACTAATGAATTACGGCTTACGGCCATATCACGTTCAAACACCGGTTCCCGTATGATCACAGAAGTTAAGCAATATCAAAACTGATCGGTACCAAGATGGGTGACCTCTTGGGAATATCAGTTGCTATAAGCTTGGATGTGCGGATGGTGTATTTGATAAGGGTATTTGTGCGTAAGTGAATATAACAGATCCAACTGGAATTGAAACTCTTCTGTCCGATTAACAATTTATGAGCCATTATCCATTACACCACCCGACTTGACGTTTTAACTTCGGTGTTTCAACGTGATGTGACCCTAAGTCCAAATATCAATTTGTAAAGGATAACATTTGTTAAGTGGACATGACGGTAATCAATGACCAATAATTTCGGCAACAGAACTCGTTGCGCTACTTTTGACATTCTGCGAGTCGAATGCAAAATCTGTGACATTGTAGGTTCCCGTTGAAGTCGTTTTAACGGGTACACACACTTGTCCGTGTGCCCAGGTTGGTTTTAAGATAAAAATTACTGACTCAGTTTTTATAAATTTAAAAAAATGTTTTCCTTGAAGTCATATAAAAACACAGAAATTCCACGGCGCATTTTAAATTTAACCATTAACCCTGTCTTTTGGCGAGATCGGGTAAATATCGGCAAGCACCAAGACGTCGAACTCTTTGTTTTCGGGCAGAGAGGAATCCAGATGAGGCTATGCTGAAGGGGACAAACCCGATCCCCTATATGCGGAGTCTACGGGGAATTTTTGCCCTAGCCTACGGGCTCGCTTCGCCCCACATAAAAATCGGCCTTGTGCCACATCCTGCCACGTGGGGAGGTTGGTAATTTCCAGCTTAGGTTTGAGCAAGCATCTAGACGTCGAACTATCTGATTTGGGGCAGAGATGAACCCAGACGACTCTATGCCAAAGGGCAGAGTTTCGTCCGGGGAGGTAGACAAACCCGACCCCGTTTATACGGGGTCTACGGGGAAATTTTACCCGAGCTTACGGGCTCGGATCGCACCGCATAAAAATCGGCCTTGTGCCACATTCTGCCTCATTGGGAGGTCGGGTAAATACCGGCTTGCTTTCCAGTTTCAGATGAACTTGTAAATATCTATTTGTATTATTCTTGTTCAATATAAACCTTTATATTTTGTAAGTTACCGTTCTAGTTATTATTTCAATAACCACCCCAGACAACATTACAAAACTATGGATTCCCACAATTCATTGGGAAAGATAGTGGAGTAGTTTTCCGTTGCCTTCTCCGCAGTTTGAAATTCAGAGTAGATCTACTCCTAGATTGTCATCCACTGAGTGTCTTATCTGCGATAACTGGCGGAAGAAGGAATTGTTTGATTCATTTCTCAAAGGCGTTTGTGGAAAAATGATCGCAACAGAATAGACTGGAATTAGAACTCGGATCGCTGATTTTATATTCTGCGCCGATAACCGTTAAGCTACCCACGCATCATTTTAATAATTTTATATAATTGAGTTTATTAATTCATTTTAATAATATATTTTCATGTTCCATTAGATTATTCGTTTATAAATTTATAGAGAATTGGTTACTGAATGCTAACTGCATCAATGATAAAAGTAAGGAAACATCGGCATTCAGTGACCGAGCAGCCAACGACTTATTTTCTTCTTCACTTCCTGTTCATCGAGCTGGGATCAAAGTGTAGTATTTGTTCTCCTCATCTCTAATGGTAATGGTAATATTAGCCGTTTCCTTATAAGGAAATATTTCGTATTCATTGATCGAGCAGTCAGATGGTTGAAATTTACAAATTTTTTTTCTTAAAACAATTTTTCAGGAAAATTGGTTTCTCAAGTCCAGTAACTGTTAACTCTCTTTCTTGTATTGACGTGGGTTTCCTTCCTAACCTTTTGTTTGAAGTAGTGTGGAACGTCAACACCTTATGTCATAATTCGATTTACATGTGATATCCATTTTTGCTCTTGCTGCTGTTAGTAGTCCTTAAGTGAAGTGGTTACTGTTATTTGGTACTGTTCTTTGTGATTCTGTTGCGCCAGACCACAATGTTTGAAAAAGTATGGGTCTTCATGAAAAGCCACATGCTTCATTCGTTCAAAGCCATTTTTAACATTTGATCTTAGAAAGCGGTTGTATACATGCATGGAAAAAACGGTATCATAGATAGATATATAAACCTCCATCAGAGAGAAGAGAGTCTTTTACATCCACGCGAGAATGTAGTGTCCTAATTCGGAAAGAGCTTTCTTGTCACCCACCCACTGACCGACGGTAATTATCAAAATTTGGAATTCAATAAAATGTCATGTTACATATGAGATATTAAGTAGCATTATCTTTGTAAGACAGGTAATGGTACGAGAAAAAAAAAAACAAAAAAAAAACAAACAAACAAAAGAAACTCTAAATGAATTCGACTAGATATAAAAAAAAAAAATTCTAAAATATCCAGCATCCCTCGTTCGGGCGCATGTACAGTCGAACCAACATAACAAATTTAGTCCCATGATGAGCGAAACGCAGCGCAAGTAAACTTTTTACACTTTGTCATACAATTTATCCAATATATATATATATATATATATATATATATATATATATGTGTTGAAACAAAATGGCTATTTTTGTAGTGATCTTATAACATACTTATGTTATTATTTTTTATAAAAATAATTATATATATATATATATATATATATATATAAAGAAAGAACAATGAATATGGAACTAATGTCATTAATTTAATTACAAGATTAAATTCAGACTTTCAGCTTCCATTTTGAAACATGGTTAGAACTGTGTAGCGAAAAAAAAACATATTTTAAATCAATTAATTTATAATATATATATATATATATATATATATATATATATATATATATATATATTACAATGAATCATTCACACAAAAAGTAAATTAGTAAAGTTAATGAGATAAAATGGCGAATTCACTTCCTAACTAAATTTGAAAAATGCACTAACAACTCGATAAATGTTGTGATCCTTGTTTTTCAAAATTATAACTGTCTTCCTTAAATATGCAAGGGCTTTCGACGGATTCTCCGGTCATCATCAGACATGGAAACGATTTTCTTTTTGGTAAAATTCAAGTAGCATCCGAGACGAAAAAAAAATCTAATGTAAATCGAAATATGTTTTTTTTAAAGTGTGTTATTGATAACAATTGATATATATATATATATATATATATATATATATATATATATATGGGGAGAGAGAGGGGGAGGAAGGGGGTAAGAAGGAGAGAAGAAAGAAGTTAACTAAACTTAAGTTCGTACACCATTTTTACATCAGAATCTCATGGTTTTGTGCCTCCTAACGACAAGAGGAGATAAACTTAATTGTTTATTTTGTGTATTTTACTTTTCATGAGTGCTTGCTGAAAATAAATTCTTATGTGAAATTCTAATGTGAAATTCTAATCTGAATAGATTTTGTGAAGAGGGTCGGGTCGAGCACTTTTCATTTGTATAGTGAATCTGTTAACTTTTATACTTCTCAACTCTTATAATATAAAAAATAATTTTCGAAAATTTTCATGAAGCTTAACAAGCGAAAATATTCATTATAAAAATATTTCTCATATTTTTTTAATATTCTGTTGTCTTTGAAGACCTACTGCTGCATTTAGTTAAACGAAGGATCGGATGATGTCTGCAACAATAATATACTTTTTTGTAGGCTCCTCCACTAATTCGCTGAAAAAGATCATACCATGATGAAAAAAAGCCCCAAACATTATAAAAACAAAATTTTATCAACAAAATATTTATATTATTATTAAGATGAAAGACCAAAATGTTTTTTGATTATTTTAAATGTTTTAATCCTTTCTAGCACCTTCGAAATTCTGGTGAAAAATCTTGTTTTTCTTGCAAGGGGTTGGGATTGAGGGTGGGGTCAAAGGTTAGTATAGGAAATTTTAGTGTTCTTTTTTGCGGTAAGAATAATAGTGATTTGGAAATTCTTGCACTCAAATAATTGTCGGATTTTAATGAAACTTCTAGGACATATTCAGAAATGAATGAAATCGTTTTTGAATTTTTTAGAAAATCTTGGTAAAAATATTTTTTGTTTTTTTTTTACATCTTTTAGCCCCCACTTACTTAATTTTATGAAATTTCGAGAAATTAAAATTTCATATTTCAGAAATCCTTGGGCAATTTAAATCCTCGATTTGTTTTTGTCAAATAGAAACAGCATTTATCGAAAATCTGCTCTAAATCGTAAAAATGCAATAAAACTATGACATTATTTGATTAGAAATGCTTTAATTGCTTTTATAAGAAAGATATAAAACATACTATTGTCTTAAAAATGTATTTTTTCGATGAATAATGAATGTTTACAAGAATTGTTTTAATTTTTTTTAAATTAGAATAAATCTATTAAGTTTTTTAAATCTTTTAAAATCCTGTTTAATTTCACCCTTTTAGATGATTTTATTATTAAGTTAAGACTAGAATTACTAATCATAAATATAAACACTTACTACAAATCATCAAATACCAATATTTTTAAAAGAATTTAAATGTAACTTGTATGTAAACAGGTCGATTTTTGCAGATACGGATGATCCTGAACGATATTATCATAAGATAAGAGTGATAATTGAATTTTATTGAACTGATAATATTAAATTTTAGATATTTTGGATTTAAATTTACTGTAGATTAAATTTAAAGCCAATATATCTAAAATTCAATAAAACATTAGATTATGGAGAATATTTTCCTAAAATTTTAAGATTACTGAGTACTTAAAAATTATACACAAAATTCGCTCACGTTATATTGTTCAATTGTTTTTCTATGGATAAAGTCACTGTAGAACGACATTAGATAAACAATATGTCAACAAGCTGTCAAACACGAATGGCTTAAATAAACAGTTACTGTTGTTGAAAAAAAAAGGTTTTTAATAAGGAGAATTACACTGCGATGAAAGATGACTAAAAAAGGGCGTTAATCAATTATTCTAGCAAAAAATAAAAAACACAACAAGAAAATACCCCCCCCCTAAAAAAAACAAAAAAACTAAAGATGCTGGTAAAATGATCAACTCCCTGTACTGCTTCAGTAAGTACCTATCCTCTACATTTATCAGGCCGAAAATGGGGTACTGTTACCATATTTGGTCGGGAGCTGCCCTGTCCTCATTTTCAAGCCTTGATTTCAAAAGCGTCTCTGAGTCCTTGTTAGAGGAGAATTAGTTCCCCCCCTCCAACCTCTCTCTTTCACAGGCGGGGTGTAGCGAGTCTCTCACTACTCTATCGCTACTTCCATAGAAAGTGTTCGGTCGAACTGCATCTCCTGGTTCAACCAAGTCAGATCTTCACTGTTAGGACCTGCCATGTCACTTACATAGTAAACCACGCACATTCCCTCCGTATTCCATCAGAGAGAAGTTCCACTCAAACAGCTTAATCGGGCGAACCACTGCCCTGTGGAACGGACTCCCAAGAGGATGCTTCCCCGATCACTACAATCTTAACCTGTTCAAGAGTTAACCGTTTTCTTCCCCTCCTATCTACATAAACTGTGCCCCTTAACGTAACCCTCTAAGATTCAGTGGTACCCTGTAAAAAAAGGAAGAAATGTCAATTTAAATTAGTTTTAAAATTAGTTTTTTTAAATACAGAAAAGCACTTTGCTTACTGGAAATATTAAATCTATTAGCTTAAAATTAAAAGTAAAATAAAAGCTTCAAGAAAGATTTGTCATTTAAAGTCATTCATTATAAATCTTAGGTATTATGTTTTTCTCTGGAGCTTTTCTCTGGAGGTACCTACTTTTAGCTATTTTTTTTTCTTTTTACATGGTTTATAAATCATGCTTTAAACTACAATTGTACTTGATTTCATCCAAGTCGACTTTTTCCACCAAATATTATCATAGACGTCATTGCTACAATAGGAAATGCGTTAATTGAAACATTAAAGACAACATCAATTTCACATTGTTGTTGCTAGGACAAAACTGTTCTGATTTAGAGATCGGATATTTCTATAGCCTTTTGCCACCATGTTATGTATTCATGAATGCCGCGCTTTGTTGATCAATGATTTTTTTTTTTAATTCATCACTTTTAAAACCCTTTCCTTTTTACTCGATGAATTGGTGGCAGCTCGGAAATTGTTGGCAACATGTGAGCCATGTTGATTGCCCATTAAATTAGACTTTATTTTCTAAAAAGAAAAAAACGTACATTAATGAGTGGTTCTTGGTAATGAAAGATGCATACAAAAACCAGATTTTAATTTGATTCTTTTTTATGGCTTATCAACCCATTGCAGAAAATATTTTTGGATTGGAAGATTTTGATTGGAGAAAATAATGGTTTAGTGATACAAGTCTTACTAATTAACCCCTAGCTGGTGGAGGAGATGGATTCAAACATTTCCATCCATGCTATGTACGCCCAAGCGAATATAACGGACTCAACGGGAAATAGAACGCGGCTCTTCTATTAACAATTTGGAGCCATTATTCAATACAAAACCCGCATATTCAAGCTTACAGCCCCAGGTTTTTCCCAAGCGTCCACCCATCTAGATACTGACCAGGCTCGGAGTTGCTTAACTTCGGTGATCGTACGGGAACCGGTGTTTCAACGTGATGCAGCCGTAAGTCAGAAAATTGAAGAAACAGAGAAATAGAGAAAAAGAAATAAAGAAAAAAAAAAGGAAAGAAAAGATAGAAAGAAAGAAGGAAGGAAAGAAAGAATGGAATATATGAAGAGGAAGAAATTGAGTGATCGTAGCAGAAAGAGAGAAATAATAAAGAAAGAAATTTAGAAAACGAATAAAAAAAGAAAGAAAGAAGGAAAGAATGAAAAAATGAAAGAAAGAAACGAATAGATTGATACTAGCAGAAATAGAGAGAGAAACAAATTTTTAAAATGAAGAAAGAAAGAATGAAGGAAAGATAGAAGGAAAAATGAGAGAAAGAAACGAAGTGGAAGAAATAAGGTGATAGTAGCAGAAAAGAGAAATAAAGAAATTAAAAAAAAAAGAAAGAAAGAAATGAAACTTCCTATAAGAGACAAACACAAGCCAAAACCGACAAAATAAAAACGTAAGAAAGAAAAAGGGAGGAAGAAACAAAGACGAAGAAATAGATTCATCGTATCACAAATAGAGAAAGCAAATCGTCAAATCTTCTTTCATAATATTTTGATTCTTTTGTGTCGTGTCCATTCATGACGCTGGCGATCAAGGCTCTCCACAACTTCCTGTCCTTTGAAGTTCTCAATAAATTTTGTCTTTTCGCCATCTCTCGCATACCCTGCTCCGCCTTTCATTTACTTAAAATTGCCAGGTAGGTGATGCGTTGTGTTTCTCTGTCTCTCATGCCTTCAATCTGTCCTGTGAGTATCAAATTTTCCAAGCCTTTTGTCCTTATTATGTGACCCCAAAATTTCAACAGCCTATTCCTGATGTTAAATATAAGTATACTTTTGGTTTCCATTGTCTCTAGAGCTTCGTCGTTCCTCGCAGGTTCGGTCCATGGTATTCTCATATACAACCGCATTTCCTGTTGCTTGAAATCTTCTTCATCTGTGAGGAGATTGTCCAGCATTCAGTGCCATATAGGAGGACTGCTATTACATAACAATTCAGTACTCTTTTCTTTGTTTCTCTTGCTTCAGCTCTTTTCTTCATCTTTGAAGAGATTGGCCAGCTTTTACTGTTATATAGGACTGATATTACATAACAGTTCAGTACTCTTTTCTTTGTTTTTAACGAAATCTTTCTGTTTCTTAATACTCTGCTTAGCTTTTGGAAGGCATCTTTCGCTATCCCAATGCGTTTTTGGATTTCAGTGTCGCACCTTCGGTTCCCTGTTAAAACGCTATCCAGATATTAAAGTTTTTCTACTTATTTGATTTCGGTATCTCCAATTTGTAATTTTCATCTTGGGTTGTTCATTTTGCTAACAATCATGATTTAGTTTTTTTTTTCCTTTTGCAATTGATCTTTAGTCCTTTCTTGTCGCTTTCCTTCTCTACCTTTTGTAGGAATTCTTGTAGTTTCCGTTCCTTGTTTGCAATCAGCCTTGTGTCATCTGCATATCTAATGTTGTTCAGATTGTGTCCGCCAATAATGAATCCTATTAGGATTTCTAATTATCTCAGAATCACCTCACTGTATAGATTGAATAAGTCTGGTGAGAAGACATATCTTTGTTTTACACCCTTTTCATTCTTTTGTATATATACTGAACTCATTTTCTGTTCGTATGCAGGCAGTTTGCAGCCAGTGAAGGTTCTGGATTATTCTAATATCCTTCCCAAAGATGTCAAGGTTAATGAACCGTCCCAATAGATCTTTGTGACGTTCTTTATCAGACGCTTTTGAATAATCTCTAAAACACAGGAACACCTCCTTCTTCCACCTCTTTTGTATTGGTTTTTATCATTCCCGCAGTCAGCACTTAGTTATGTTTTGCAGTGTAAGACTGCCTTCCTGGATCCCTTATTTATAGCTATATAGTCGATTTGCTTTTTCGTTTCACCTCCTCGCCTTCTTCATGTCCACTTGGGTGTTCTTGAAATCACGTATTGGCTACGACCTGATTGTTCGCCGTGCACCATTCAACCCATTTTTCTCCGCGTTCATTATGAGTTCCTTGTTAACTATTTCACCATCTGATTTTGCCAGGCATTCAGGTCCCTCATGAGGATTGTAATTTCTTCTGATATTTTGATTAATGAATGAAATCATAGTCAATTTGCGTGAGTTAAAAACATACAATGACTGCGAAAAACGACTGCATTCTGGTTTCACTTCAAAAAATTCGGCATTATTTTTATTTTTTATTTTTATTTTTTATTGGCTGCGAATCTTGAACTCTTCATCTTCGTCTAAGTTCAAAACTTATTCAAGTCAATTTTGTTTAATCAAAGAATTTTAAAATCAATTTGCGATGCACAACTTTGGCGGCCATTTTATGAGCAAACTATTGAATGATTATTACATTTTTTAGATATATATTCTTGAGACGGATCTGAAAATTGTCACCCTAGCATATTGTTTGCCATCGTAGCTTTTTATTGGTCAAAGCAGAGTCAAGTTGATTGGCAATGCAAACAAGACGTACGGAGGTAAGACTTGCACCACTATCAAGGGTTTGCGTACGCGGAAGTGGCTATGATTCGCCGATTTCATTCTCCGTTTTTCATTTAAGCTGTGGAAATTAGAACGTGAAAATCCCATGTTGCCTTTCAAAAACGAATTCTCATTTTGTATATTTTAATAAATTTTAAATGCCACACTTTTTCAGGACGTAAGTAATCATTGCTCACTACAGCTTCCTTTTCTTTATCATTTGTAGATCTGTGGGTTTCACTGAAAATATAATGAAATGCTTCTAATATCTTTTCTATACAGTGCACGTTGGCATTATTTTTATCTAGTTTATCTTTCATCTTTTGTTGTTTTTATCACAGCGCTCAGTGTTTAATTAAACAGTATGCGTTTGGAATAAAGAAAAGCCTCTAACGAGATCTGAACTCACATTCCGTATCCTTGGGAATTCGTCTGACATGGATGGCGCTTTATCAATTTGGTCACATAAAATCATTATTTAATAATTTTCACCAAAAATGTCCTTATATAACAAGATTTAAATCTCGTCTGAAGGGGTGGTCACCGTGATTAAATCGATAAGGCGCTGTCCATTACTCCACTGTGTCCTCTTGTTACACTCCCAGCTATAGGCAAATAGCGAAACTCCAAATATAGACAAAACACCATGAAAGCATAAAAACATACATTTTTATAGTAAAATGACCAGCAATACAATTTAAAAATAAAATAACTAAGAATACATTTTATCTGTAGTTGAAGGCATGCAATTACGTTTAAAATATATTAAATTTAAGCCATAAAACTGTTCAATATATAAAATATTTAAATTTCGACATTTCAACTCATAGAGGTTGATATGCCGCTAAACAAAATCAACAATGATATTAATCCATATAATATCCTACAATTTCTTAAAGAAATCAAACTGTATTCCAAAATATAACATCAACAAAACTAAAACATAAAACACACATATCACCGCCTCTAGTAATTAAATCCACACAAACATGTATATGCACAAAAGCTGAGTATCATCTACCATGGATTCAATTGTGAAAGCAGAATAACAAAACTACAACATAAAACACACCTATCACCGCCTCTAGTAATTATGTCCACACAAACATGTATATGCACAAAATCTGAGTATCATCTACCACGGATACAATTGTGAAAGCAGAATAACAAAGCTACAACATAAAACACACATATCACCGCCTCTAGTAATTATGTCCACACAAACATGTATATGCACAAAAGCTGAGTATCATCTACCATGGATTCAATTGTGAAAGCAGAATAACAAAGCTACAACATAAAACACATATCACTGCCTCTAGTAATTATGTCCACACAAACATGTATATGCACAAAAGCTGAGTATCATCTACCATGTATTCAATTGTGAAAGCAGAATAACAAAGCTACAACATAAAACCCACATATCACCGCCTCTAGTAATTATGTCCACACAAACATGTATATGCACAAAAGCTGAGTATCATCTACCATGTATTCAATTGTGAAAGCAGAATAACAAAGCTACAACATAAAACACACATATCACTGCCTCTAGTAATTATGTCCACACAAACATGTATATGCACAAAAGCTGAGTATCATCTACCATGGATTCAATTGTGAAAGCAGAATAACAAAGCTACAACATAAAACACACATATCACCGCCTCTAGTAATTATGTCCACACAAACATGTATATGCACAAAAGCTGAGTATCATCTACCATGGATTCAATTGTGAAAGCAGAATAACAAAACTACAACATAAAACACACCTATCACCGCCTCTAGTAATTATGTCCACACAAACATGTATATGCACAAAATCTGAGTATCATCTACCACGGATACAATTGTGAAAGCAGAATAACAAAGCTACAACATAAAAACACATATCACCGCCTCTAGTAATTATGTCACACAAACATGTATATGCACAAAAAGCTGAGTATCATCTACCATGGATTCAATTAGAAAAGCAGAATAACAAAGCTACAACATAAAACACATATCACTGCTTCTAGTAATTATGTCACACAAACATGTATATGCACAAAAGCTGAGTATCATCTACCATGTATTCAATTGTGAAAGCAGAATAACAAAGCTACAACATAAAACCCACATATCACTGCCTCTAGTAATTATGTCCACACAAACATGTATATGCACAAAAGCTGAGTATCATCTACCATGTATTCAATTGTGAAAGCAGAATAACAAAGCTACAACATAAAAACACACATATCACTGCCTCTAGTAATTATGTCACACAAACATGTATATGCACAAAAGCTGAGTATCATCTACCATGGATTCAATTGTGAAAGCAGAATAACAAAGCTACAACATAAAACACACATATCACCGCCTCTAGTAATTATGTCCACACAAACATGTATATGCACAAACGCTGAGTATCATCTACCATGGATTCAATTGTGAAAGCAGAATAACAAAGCTACAACATAAAACACACATATCACCGCCTCTAGTAATTATGT